GTTTTCCATAAGTTTTGCTTCAAATAGCTATAGAGAAAATTTGAAGCATCATTATAGGAAAAATGTTTTGAGTGTTTGAGTTTTAAATTTTTATGAAATCGTGTAATGATAACGATTTATYCTCAAAYCMGGTAWATGTATATCTWWGATAATATAAGGTATTATGAATTATGATAACTACATGCAATGTTTTTGGAAAAATTGATGAACCATGCCTTATGCAAAATGTGTCCTAATTGAAAAATAATATATTTGTTTCAAAATAGAATATATATGACAATAATATTTAAATATAATATATCCTAGACTGACAATTAATCATCTCCGTTCAGAATCGTTTTTCGTACCTGTACATGATACCTATCATTGCATTCAAATCTAACCTACMCTAGTCAGAGGTCCACCTCACCACCTAATATACAGCAGAGCGATACCCACTTTCCCGCTTTTTTTTATTATTTACTATACATATAGTTTATGTGCTTTACTAAAAATATTATGTTCATATCATATTCTATATAATGATACAATGATATTGTACAAACGAAAGTTATACAGGTTAGGAAGAGCTTACATATATTTTTCAAGAAATACTGAAGGACATTTGAGAAAGTTTACCGATATCTTTCACTCTTCAGATAGTACTGAAGTGAACCCACGAGAGAGTTTACAAGTGATTAAAATTGAAAGAGTTTATAATCACCCGAAAATTGATGGGGAACGTGATGACTACTTGAAGATCTATGTATAGGACCCTAAACATTTTTCAAACCCATATCACAAACACAAAGTTCATGAAACATTGCCAATCACTACGTTATAAATGATTAGTTATTAGTAATTACATAATATGGTAAACCCTTTTTTCCCTCTTTGAAACCGGGAACAGGTGGGAACTGCTTAGCACAATACTACATATGTTAAACCGTCCCTGCAACGTTGTACATATTATCGACCTGTAAAACTATACCCTTTAAAAACTTGGTAATGCAGTGTTTAAGATGTCTTGGATACACTGTTGATTGTCATATATAATGCGATTTGGTAATAGCAAGGGTTTTTAAACTATTTATAATTATTTAAAGAACTAGATACTTCTTTGATATGTTACACATTATTTTACACATGTCTAAAAATGTATCGTTGTTAAATTTAATTCTTTTATATATATATATGTACCATTTAGTTGATGACGATGACGCAATGAGCAGTAATGGGTACCACAATCCCGGCAATGAGCTCAATATTTCCAACAAAACCATAGACGAACAAGTATACAAGATTTCAGATTGTCTCTACGATAAAATAAATTATTTTTTAACATTTTTTTTGTAGTATAATAATATTAAGTTATATCTTTGTTTACGATAAAGCCATATATACATATATATGTTCGTATATATGTAGTATATACTATGTGTATTCGATTGATTGATCACAATATTTTTATTTTAACTATTTCATAATTACATTATTACCATATTTTGTTTGTGTATTCATTTTATTTTATTTTTTTTATCGTGTTTATATATTAATCATCTGTAATAGTATTGTTAAGTTCGATGACTGTGCGCGCTTGATTCATTTCATGCCATGACAAAACTAACTATTTCCTGTGTCTATTTAAATATAATATATATTTACATATGTTTTGTTGGTGATTGGATTTTTATATGTTATACATAGTGTAAAACTTTTTTATTTATTAATTTTATTGAGTCAATACACCGAGTATTTTTACAATGTCATACATTTACAAATTTTGATTATATGTTTACATAGTATTTATAATTTTTACTAATTTTTGGATAATTATATGTCCAGATCCGTGTCTGAATCTTAGGTGTCTTCTTTGGGTGAGAGTAGTATATTTATATTATCCTGTGATGGTAGCCGTGGTTTTAATCTTAGGTTGACGGATCTTCTGCCGATTTTATAGTGAAGTGATCCGTCAGCTAGGGTAAAACTAATAGTATTCCGTGRATACGTGGTGAAGTTTTGGGCCGTTAAAATAAATAAGCCTAACACAAAAATCTCGGTAAAACTTCAACTATCCCAAACATACTCAAGTTGAAAATTCTAAAACCTTTAATTTTTAAAATGGTAAATACCGTAATGCTTGTAAATCAATATTAAACTTAGTTCTATTTTAATTATACGTCTTATACGCATAATGGCCAATTAAAATGTTTGCAATATCGTAAAATATAATTATCGTATCAACATATAACGAATTTATGTACATATTTCAAGTTTTAACTATTTATAAGAATTAGGTCGGTATATTCACAAAAAAAAAATTCTTTATTTTATTATTTTTGTATATTTAGTGGTTAGTGGACACTTAATCTATTTTCCTTTATATTTATTTGATTTTGATTAGTAAAATACCTATTATTAATTGAATTTTAAGAAGTTTGAAGATTTAAGCTTGTATTTGTTCCTAAATTAATGTTTATGTTCATCGAATAATAATATTAATTCACGTACCTATGCTTAAAAACTAACTAAACCGTTTTTAATATAGTAATTATATAGCTAGGCTATTTATTTTTTTTTTTTGACAATTTTTTTAATCTGAAAATAATTAGAAAATGTGTGCCAATACTACATAGTAATAATATTGTGAACTTACCCCATGTACAAATGACTAATGTGATCCCTCGAACGCATATGTACCTATACATTAAACATTATTATATTATATTATTTGCGATATGTAGTCTGGACAAGTTTTTAAAATCGTATAAAAACATCTGATTTCACTGCCTACATTTATTAATGATATAGGATATAGYAATGAGTATTTGAGTGTGTATATTATTATTTATTACCAATAGAAATATAGCTATTATTATGGTATTATATATTATCATCAAAAATTGGTGTTTGATGCGACATTGACGTACCTATTATATTATTGTATGATTATTAATTAATAATTAAATTATGTTTTATGCGCATCATATCGTGTTGTACAACAAATTTATTCTTTTTCATCATAGAACCATTCGATATTCTCTCTCCGCGTGCTTCATATAAAATTTGATGGTACATATGTAATAAATATAGTTTAACGTCACCAACTTTTATGCAAATACAGACATATATAATAATTAGACAAGTAATAATTTAAAAATATCCAAAAATATGTAAATTTTATGATATCTATATAATACTAATAATAATATTATTAATAAAAAATGTTTTCAATACCGCACTGTTAGATTTTGATTTAATCGATGTCTACAGTAAATCAATTTAAACAAAGACATTCAATTTTCTTCGTTTGTTTTACCGTGTAATTTTATTATATTGTAACACAGCAATAATTTTATTATTTCATTGTAGAAAAGAACATATGTGCGTGGCATGGCGTTAGTCATCGCTCAGAGCTCGCATATATATACATACATTATTATTAATTGCAATACAAGTTTTTTTTTTTTAAAGGATGTATTGCGATTTTTTACTCAGCGTACATCCGTTTAAATAAATTATACACTGCGTATGTATAAAACATATACAGGTATAAATATTAATATCATTTTCAAAACGTTTATATTATCATATTTTAGATTCTGAGCGGAGCGAGGATTGTATTGTTTTTACCATCTTGATGTGTGTTTTTATTTTTTTATTAATTTATTTTTTTGTGTCTGTCATCACGTTTTGGGACAGTAAAAGTGCTTTGATTTTCGACTTCAGTACCTTGTTCGATCAGAAAGTGAATCTATTTGGAACTTTGAGGAGGTCAAAAGTAAAAAATTCTCAATATTTTGCTAAATAATCGGGATAAACAAACTAAAAATTAAGGGAAAAACGTGAAATTTTACGCACAATCAGTTTTCGACAAATCGATTTTGTTTTTTGATGTAACAAAACAAATGACCATAGATACATGCAATTTTCACCGAATGTTTATATAAGTATATTCTATCCACCTTGCAATTTTCAAAAATTCTTAAGTTAAGTTGAACTATTCATAGGCATATGTAATTTTCGATCATAATTAGTTATATAAATACTGGATTAAATATTATAACATATATTTTATAGTTTTTAAGAACTTTGTTATAATATTATCCTAAGACCTAGGTTATATACATTTTAATAACTTAGAAATTACTCGTTAAAATTTTGATTTAAGTACACCAACATTTTCATTTGACATCTGTATAACTGCATAAAAATTTATAGTAAACAACATTGGTTCTTAATTGACTAAAAAAAAATTGGTAGAGCCCTACAGGACATAACTTATAAATGGATTAATATATCAACTAAGTATTTGAAAATTAAGCCATTATAAGTATACTTAGAAGTTTCAAAAATCAGAATTTTAATAAGTTAGTTATTAAAGAAATAAGGAGGCTGTTCATGCTTGAGGAATCACTTTGTATATTATTCTATATGTATAATGACATAAAGTGGCCAATTCCTCCTTCCCTGACTGTCAATATATTTTCGTGTGTTTTTTTATAATCTCGTAGGGCCTACAACGTAGACGTTCAAACTTTGTAAAACATCAGCCAGTGAATATCATCATTCTTCATATAATATAATATATTTATATCATTCACTTTTATTTTAATATATTAAAATATAAAACTGTTTTTTACCAAACTCTTCGTATTACCTATGTAGTAAACCCTATAGTATTATTTTTTACCTTCTTCGGCCCATTTTGGGGACAAAATGTGAATAATCATGAACATTTTCAAGTCTAATATAACTATATAATTTATACATGTTTCCTATATTATGAATATGATGTGCATTTTGTTTTTTAAACATTTGAAGTTCAAATTTAATTGAAATAAGCTATTGAATTGAAAATAACAATTCTTGTGATTCTGTATGTTATTGTACCTTATTAAAAATAATACTATTTGTAGGGACATGGAACTTTTTGTCACTATATTATATAAAAATAATACATTAATACGTATACGTAGGAACATAAATTATTGAATATATATTATATAAGTATAAGTATACAGTGGCGTATATAGAAATTAACTTAGGGGTGGGAGAGGGGTTACAAAAAAAATATTTCAACACTCCTTCTTAAATTCTAATTGGTTACGCCAGTATTACCTACCATTCATTTCAGGGGGGGGGGGTTGAACTACCCCTTCTAAATACGCCAAATTAGATTCAATAATATATTTTTAATTTAATATTTTGATTAATGTTAAGCGATGGATTCCATGAATGATGGATGTATGTACAATGTACCATTTCACATATTCATATAATTCAACTGCATCATATGTTGGTCACATCTCACATGTCAGTCTTGGATTAATAGTTACGAGTAATATATRACGTTAAAATAATATACTGTTTAAAGTTTAAAGTTTCATAATATCTTTCATGATATAATATTTTACATATCACTAGTATTAATTGTGCACTGTCGCTGATAAAAAATTAGAAGATAAATAATGATGGTAGTTATCGGTCCTGACTTAAAAGTAGGTACCATCAGTATTTAGCAAATTAATGTTCTTCTGGCAACAATTTGTGTATTCTATAGTTAGTATTACCATACTATAGCTGAAAAATATCCTTGGAAATTTTGTCAAACGGTCTATATCGACCATCCCCGCTTCAGAATCATTTTTCATATAAAACGCAGTTTGTAATTGAATTCAAATTTAATACGCATCAATCACAGCGATGAATGACCTAGTCAATGACTAGGTACAACCCATCAAATTTTTAGTTTAATTCAAATCATGTTGTTTTAGTCATCTATGATTTCAACGAATGCTTGCTAATTATTGCTATAAATTAGTAAATAATAACACGGAATACACCGCAGGTATTATATACAATGATAAAAATAATAATTTATTATGAATTGAAAATTATTTCACGTTCTTAATACCTTATATTATATTCGTTAACATATTAAAAACGGTTTTTTATATAACATAATATAATACTATACATATATATTATATATAATATATATAAAGGTCGTAAGGTTAAATTTAACTATAATAACATTTTTATTATAATACCCGCTTATATAATAATAAATACATTTTTATAATAATTAATAACTATTTTATATGCTATATTATACCTGTGGCATATATTAAAATATAATTGTGAAAGAAAACAATAAAACATCAACAATAAATATTTATTTATCATTATTGTGATTCAATAATAGTTATAAGTAATTATGCATGTAAGTATCAATGTATATATAGTATATATATTATTTTAAATCCATCATTATTCATTTGTATTGATTAAATTATTTATATTCATATATGCATTTTATCTATGACTATGCAGATCTACCAATAATAGGCTGTGCACTATAGTGCGCATAGTTCAACTCTAATTGTATA